AAACCGCCCAGAGAGGAGGCCTCTGGGTCCTGAATCCCAGCATCTAGGGCAGATGGCTTCTCCCACTGCAGGCGTTTGTTGGTGAACCTTGTTTTGAGAAAGGCAGGTGTAGAGTTTCCAGAAACTGCCCAGGCCAGGACCACGTGCAGAGTCACCTGGGCCATCTCCTGGGAGCCCCCTAATGCCCAAGGAGTGGCTTGGAGGACCTCCTGTCCTCAAGCCTGTGCCACCCTGTGTGCTGCTCCTCACCAGGTGCCAAAGAAAGGAAGAACTCTCTCAGAATGATACTTAGCCTCGTCCTTTGGCATGCTGAAAATGCATTTCTCAAAGGACATTTTGAATCATGACTAGGAAACAAACTCATTGTCACTGTCAGGTTTGTCTGGCTGCTGAGCTGGGTCAACAGGCGTGCGAGTATGGATGAGCTGTTGTAGGCTGCACCCTGGGTCCCTGGGGTCACCTGGGTCTCACAGCTCCGAGGAGCAACTCTGAAATCAGGCTGCTTATCCTGCCCATTTAGTGCTGAGAACTCTGTCTCTAGAAAAATGAATGAATGTCCCTTTGTCCAGCTTAGTCGATGCCACAGCCCACCCAGGCTGGGTAGCCAGAAATGCTGAGCCTCGCCTTCATCCTCCTGTTTTATCTGCTGAATGTGCCCCATCCAGCCCATCCACTCCATCCAGTGCCACTGGGGGGGCTTAATGGCTCGTCATTTCCTCCCTGCTGCAGTCACAGCACCCCTGCCATTCCCAATGCCACCCAACACATACACACACGCACACACAGGCACGTACACGGACACGCTCACACGCTCCCTCCTGCCCTGTCTCCCTCCTTCCCTTCTCTTCCCCAGTCCACCTTCCCTGCTGGGACTCAGCAGCCCTGTGAGGACCGTGCAGATGCAGACGGTCACACTTCCCCACGACCCACATCCTTACCTCAGGTCTCATGGAGATTTACCTGCCCTCTGCTGGAGTTTCACACTTTGACTCATTTTCCCAGTCGAGTTGTGTGTTTTGGTTGTGAGCAGCGGTGTGTCCCTTATGGGTGGGGAGGATCCAAATCACAGTAATGGCAGTTGGATGCCTCCCTCTCTGATCTGCAAGCAGATGCCATCGACAACCACAGATCATTTAGTGACAAGCATGGCCTCGCTGGCAAGCGGGAACTCCAGCTGGATGGCGACCTGCAGACAGGTGAGCGGCTTTGTTCTGGGCTCACTTCACTGCTCACCACCTCCCAGGTTGTGCCGTGGGCAGGCCTGGGTGTCAGGCACTGCCAGCCTCCTACCTACTGCCACAGCCTCGGCCTGGCCTAGCCATGACTTGACTAAGACTATGTGGCCTCAACACACCTGTCAGCTGCCAGACATAGAAGCAGAGAAGCCAAGAGTAGGCATGTGGGGCAGTTGCAGGGACAGCAAAAGTGTTAGGGGCTGACCAGGCTTGTGTCCCCAGCAGAGCTGGCCTGGAACCAGCCTCTCCATGGCCCTGAGCAAGCCCTTGGGAATGCAGAGGGCCCTTGGGTCAGCCCCTGGCCTTGCAGACCCCAGCTCCTCCCTGGGATGGGTGACAAGGGAGGAAGGGGTGGAGGTCACCCATAGTGCCAGCTCTGAGTATTGTTCTTTCCTGCCTTCTAGGAAGCTTTGACAGGTCATTGCCTGAGAACAACATTGTGCGCACCATAATTGAGTTTCTGACTTTCTTACATCTCAAAGGTATGTGAAATATTACTGATTTAAAATGCCATTTGGGGCTAGAGTTGTACCTCATGATAGAGCACTTGTCTGGCATGTTAGAAGCCCTGGGTTCCATCCCCAGCAACACACACACACATACACACACACGGAGAAAGGAAGAAAGAAAATGCCATCTCTTAGAACCCAGGATACACAAAATCTATCAAGAAAATATTCCGTAAGCTGAGTGTGGTAGCCCACACCTGTAATCTCAGTTACTTGGGAGGCAGGAGGATCACTTGAGCCTAAGAATTCAATATCAACCTGGGCAACATAGTGACATCTGAATTCAACAAACAACAACCCCCCCTAAAACCAGCTAGACTGATGTGTGGGCCTGTAATCCCAGCACTTGGGGAGGCTGAGGCAGGATTGCAAGTCTGAGCCCAGCCTATACAGTTTATGCCTTAGTGAGACCCTGTCTCAAAATAAATAATACTAAGAAAAAAGAAAGGAAAGGAAAGGGTTCCATAGAATTCCACTGGGAAGCAGCTGATCATCCCCCAAACAACTCTGCATGGCTGTGGTTAGGATCACAGGTACATGACGACTGCACTCACTGTGCTGGGGCCAGGATCCCGGCACAGTCAACATGATGCCTGCCAGGGTCATCTGACCAGCACTGCTACCACAAAAAGAGTTGGGCTTTGGGTGCACGTCACTCTACCTGGTCCATATTTATTGGCATAGTGATAGTTGCTGTGCCTCTAATACAATGGTCGGCCACAAGCCCGGGTCTTTAGAGGCCCTCTGAAGCCACGCTCTGTGAGTATGGTAACTGAGGAGGTCCTGTTTCAGACAGCAGGGTTCTCTGTGCAGCTTTCCTGCTGGGCAGGCTGCCTTTAAATCCATAACCCTGCTCAGACAGTCCTGGGTCAGAACCGAAGCCCACGAGCGCTAACAGAGAGGACAGTGGAACCAGCAGAGAGGGGACCAACTTTCCAGGAGTCATTTCCCTTTGTTGTTGAGTTTGGCAAGGTCCAGGCTAACACTTGGGTTTTTCTACTGATCTTGTTATAAGCTCTCTGGTTGCAGGATCTCGAGGCCCCTAGAAGGGGCTGGGAAATTTAAGGCCTGTTGCTTGGTCCTTAGTCCCATCTCAGGCAGAGAGTGTGGGAGGAGGACTTGGAAACCATAGTGTTTGCTCAAAATCCCCAAACTGAGGGGCCCTGTCCCTCCATGGGAGCCTTGGGGCTCCTTTCCTGCAAGGAGCAGATCAACGCTGCCAGGCATTTTTGTATTTTAACTTGTTTTAATTTAGTAATGTGGGAATTCTTTCATTAGATGCCAGTTTTTGTCAATTAAATAGTTCTTTAAAGCATGAATGTAAAAGTCTGACAGTGTCCAACCCTCAGTACATGAGTTAAGTCTTGAAAAGGGGAGAAATGCAGAATGCTAAACCTAAGTCAGGATATCGTCCCGATTCCCCGGAGAGCGAGCACACGGCCCCCTGGTGCCACTGTCAGGCACTTTTCTGTAGGCCTTGCTCCCATGTGGTTCTTCCCTCTGCAGAGGCCGGCCTCCTAGGCAGCCTGCCAGGCGTCCCCTCGGCGGGGTCCCCTGAGGATATGGAGCAGTCCTGAGCTGACGCCTTTCCCATTGTGATCATCTGTGTTGTGATTTAAAGTCACGCTAAGATGAAGATAAATTTATGCCAACTTCTGCGGAGTAAATCATTCCTGTTTTCTGCTTTGATGCTGTGTTGTTAAGATTTAAGTTTTTTTTTTTGTAATTATTTTGAGTGACAAAATAAAAAATAGCAACTACTTGAGATTTTCTGATTCTTCTACACTTCAATCTCAAGGCCGGCGCCCCCAGTGTGTCTTAAAAGGTGAATCTGGATGATAAACGTGTGTTAGATATAAATCTTCAACTCAAATTCCACATTGAGGTCTGAGTCACCGCTTGTTTCGTGTCTGGGGAACGAAAAGTTCGGTTACTATGAGGCTGAGTCACCTGTGCTTGTGACGGTAAGTCTGTCACTGAGATGAACAAAGCCACAAGTGGACCAACCTCCCTGCCCCTGGGGAGCTGCTCTTTAGGGGTCAGGAGGGCACAGGTGGAGTGGGTGATGTGTACTTGTGAAGGTGCTGAGTGGGGCGGAAAGACTGCCAGCTAGGTGAGGGGGGAGACATGTGGTCAGGGCAGGAGGGCAAGTGTGAGCTCTGAACCATGCCACAGACCAGATATGTGTGCAAGGGAGGCTGCAAAGGAGGAAGGGGGCAGGAAGAAGGCAGAGACAGGGGAAGAAAGAAAACAGGTAAACCCTATTGTTCCAGCTATTTGGGAGGCTGAGGCAGGAGAATCATTTGAGCACTAGAGTTCTAGACCAGCTTGAAGAACATAGCAAGACTCCTTCTCAAAAGAAAAAAAATTCAGAAAACAGGCAAAAAAAAAAGACAGAGATCATTCTGCTAAATTGACAGGTGACATGCAGGCCCATTCCCGCTCACCAAGCAGACCCTTCCCCCGGCCATAGGCACCCGGGGGGGCCCACTGATCTGTGCACTCAGTCTGGGACAGCTGCCCTAGGTGATGGGCAGCCACACCCAAGGGTGAATCCTACTTCAGTCCTGGATCAAGGGACACACAGCCCTTCTTCCCTGTCCCTGCTCAGTGACACATTGAACAGCTCCTTCCACCTCCCTCCTTCCACCAGCTGCTCCCGGGCCCTGCTCCCTGTGCAACCTGCTGCTCCCCTTGGCCACCCCTGAGGCCTTGGGCTTCCAGATCCAGCGACACTGCCCACCTGCCTGACCATGGGGCCTGACACGTGGGCTCCATCCTCTTCAGTTATCAGGGTTCCTCCTCCCCATCTCTTCAGTTCGCTTTCATTCTTTCTGACTCCATCTAGGCCACAGGGTGCTCACAAGTCCCCTGCTGCTGCTGCTACTGCTGGTCAGGGGACAATGCCTGGGCTACTCTACCCAGCCCTGTAGCCTGCAGCCTTCCTGTTAGCAGTGTCTCTTGGACTGTACTGACTTCCTGAGCAGCCTGTTCCAAGCCATGGTTCCTGCAGGGCCCATGCCCCCAGGGCTCCAGAGTGGTGGTGGGCACTGCCCTGGCCATGCACACAGCCTCCAGGCAGATGTGCAAGGCCTCCCTGGCTCTAGCAGCTGCTCCTTCTCCAGACCTTTCCCTCCTTTTAGGGATAAACCGTAGGGGAGTTGGTGGCAGCTGGAAGGCAAGGGGAAGGAAGAAATGGCTGGGAGACAGCTGTGGTACCGTTTGCTGCCCAGCAGAGAGAAGGGTGAGGTGACAATTCTCAGAGGAGCCACAGAAGGTTACTACTTCCCAGAGAGCTGGTGTCAGCTTTACTGAACTGTTCTGCACAATGGATTCCGTACAATGACCATTCCATACGGTGACCGCTCCGTACAGTGACCGTTCCGTACAGTGACTGTTCCACCCAGTGACTGTTCCGTACTATGACCGTTCCATGCAATGACTGTTCCATTTAGTGACTTTTCTGTACAGTGACTGTTCCGTACAGTGACCGTTCCACCCAGTGACTGTTCCGTACAATGACTGTTCCACACAATGACAGTACAGCTGGTCCCTGGTAATCACAGTTTCTGCATCTTCTGATTCAATCAATGACAAATCAGAAATATCCAAAAAATAACACTAACAAAAAAATATAGCTAGGCTTAGTGGCTCATGCCTGTAATCCCAGCTACTCAGGAAGCTGAGGTAGGAGGGCTACAAGTTCAAGGACAGCCTGGAAACTTAGCAAGACCTTGTCTCGAGATAAAAATCTTTTAGAAGAGCAGGCAATGTGGCTTAGTGGTAGAGGGTTTGGCTAGCAGTGTGAAGCCTAGTCCCACAAAAAGTAATTTTAAAAACCCTACAAATAAGAACTACTTACATAGCACATTGTATTAGGTATTAACTATGGAAATCAGTATGGAGATTCCTCAAAAAACTAATAGAAATTCCATTTGACCCAGCTATTCCCCTTCTAGGTATCCTCCTGAAAGAGTTAAAGCCATCATATTACAGTGATACCTGCATACCCATGTTTATAGCAGCTAATTCTTAACAGCTAAATCTTGGACGTGGCCTATCTGTCCATTAACAGATGAAGGGATGAAAATGTGGTGTCAGGGCTGGGGATTTTGCTCAGTGGTGCCACCACCTGCTTCGCAGGTGCGAGGTCCTGAGTTCTATCCCCGGTACCAAAAAAAAAAACAGGGAGAGAGAGAAAATGTGGTATTTACACACAATGGAATACTACTCAGCTATAAGAAAGGATAGATTTTTGTCATTTATAGGAAAATGGATGCACCTTGAGACCATAATGTTATGTGAACTAAATCAGACACAGAAGGTTAATTATTGCAAGGTTTCTCTTACATTAGAAATCAAAATTATAAATAATTTAAAGAGAAAAATAAATGATAGGAAACAGAGTTGAGACCGTGTAGAGATGAGAGGGATTCTTGGCATAGGGAAGATGGGAGAGAGAGAGTAAAAAGGAAGAAGATGTGACCTGTACACATACTGATGCCCTACAATGAATGCATTTATTATGTATTGTAAATATGCATCCCAAAAAAGGGAAAATGTATTTGTTATTAGAAGCAATCTAGCTGGGCATGGTGGCACATGCCTGTAATCCCAGCACTAGGGAGGCCGAGGTAGGAGGATCGCTGTGAGTTTGAGGCCAACCTGAACTGCATAGTGAGACCGTGTCTCAAAAAAAAAAAAAGTAGCAATCTAGAGATGGTTTACAGTGTTCGCTTCGGCACACATATACTATAATTAGAGATGGTTTACAGTGTACAGGAGGATGTATGTACATTACATGCAAATCACATGCTATTTTATATATGGGACTTGAACACTCAAGGATTTTGGTGCCTGAGGGGTGGAGGAGGGATCCTGGGACTGTGTCTTGCTGATATGGAGGGACACTGGGCTGGCCTTTACCTCTGACTTTCTACCACAGAATCTGCATCCCAAGGAGTCAAAAGGTGACTTTGAAGTATGAGAATGAAGTATCTCTGTGTCCCTGTGAGGCTCACAGGCTGTTCCAAATACAGCTCTCTAAGACATGCTGTGCCGGCTTGGCCTCCCAACATGCTCAGCGCCTGCTGCTGCCATGTTTGCCCTGAGTGCTCTGTCGTCCTTTAGTACCCGATAGATGAACAAACCCAGACACAGGAAAGAACACTATTTGAATCTATTTCAGGGTGGTATTAACAAGACAAATGCATTTTCAATTACCATGTTAATTATAACAACTGAATAGAACCTAAAGAGTAACACAATAACTAATATTCTGCTGGTTTCTGCAAGCTACTTACTTTAACTTTATTACTTTAGTGTATAAGTAATACTATCATAACAATAATTATGCATAAGTTAAGTGAAAAACGAGCTTTTCCACAATTCAAGTAGAAACACATGAGAAACCGAACACAATTTGAAGCTCTCTGACCCAAGACTCCCATTGTAAGCCTGCCCTGCCGGCCCTCACTGCCTGCTGTCCTCATGTCCCTGTGACTCTGGGGAATTTCTCCACCGAAGAAATTGTACAGTATTCAGTGGGCCTCTGGAGAGTCTCAGTTGTATCATAACAGCTCCTCTGGAGAATGTATTTTAAATAATTTGAAAAACAAACAAAACCAAGAACCATCCTGCTTCCTTTCGCAGGGCAGGTCTAGAGGACCATGCTCCAGAGAGGAGTGCACTGTCCCTCCTGGACCTGCCCCTTGCCCCTAGGATGGCAGGAACCCAGGCTCTGCTCTGTGCAGACATGCAATGCCTGCATGCACCTCCTCACAAGGCCGCCCTTCCTCAGAGCACCTGCAAACCCGCAGGTCCCCCCATGGGAGAGCTGGGTCCCAATCTGCCAACTGTCCTCGTGCTCCTCTAAGGACAATGCCATGTTCACACTTGACTATATTGTATTCGGCTCAATTTTCAGCCCCTTTGACTTGAACTCAGTGTAAAGAATCTGGGACAAGCATCGCCCGAACTCCTCCAGGATCATCTGCTCGGCCAGGTGCTGGGAGCAGTGGTCTTTCTCGGCCTCCTCGCCCCGGGCCAGCAGACAGGCACATGTGGCCTCCACCACCTCCCAGGAGATGCAGGAGGAAGGCCGCCTGCTGGGGAGAGACAAGAACACGGGTTAGGACCTGCTCCACAGTGTGCTTTCTCTGAGTATTTTTTCTTGTCTCTCCCCTCCCCTTTCATTCCCTTTCTCTTCTTTCCTATCATCCTGTGGCACTGCGAACTGAACCCAAGACCTTTCCACTGAACTACATCCCCAGCCCTTTTTCATTTTTAATTTTGAGCAGGATTTTGCTAAGTTGCTTAAATTGCCCAAGCTGGGCTCAAACTTGTAGTCTTCCTGCCTTAGCCTCCTAAGAGTGCTGGGATTAACAGGTTTGTGCCACTATACCAGCTTCTAAGTATCTTCTCTATTCAGCAGACCATTGCTTATTCATGCCAGTTTAAGAAGGTCATGGGTATGCCATCTTCCTTCACAAAAAGGGTTCTGTTGGGAAGAATAACAGAGGACAGACCAGCCTATCAGCTGCTCTCCTGGAAAGGTCTGATCTTCTGATCTTAGAATTATGCCACCTACCAACCCAGGGGCTCCTAGGCTGGGCAGGAGCAAGTCCAGGGTCCACCGTGGGGCACCTCTGTCGCCCTCTGGGCCTTCTGCCATCTTCTGTCCCCAGGGTTGTGAGAGTATCCCACACCTTCCTCATGTGCTGCAGCCCGGTATAAGAAGCCCTCTGAGTGTTCCTGATGTCTATTTTTTTTTTTTTTTTTTGGTACCAGGGATCAAACTCAGGACCTTGCACTTGCAAGGCAGGCGGTGGAATCACTGAACTAAATCCCTGGCCTGTCTCTCTAACCAACAAAGCATGAATTGGGCTTTGCAAAATGAAATGTACCTATTAGTGACATCTGGTATTTTATCAGGATATGATCTATTACATGGAACTCAAATTTTTTAAATGAATGAATCAAGTCTAATATATAGTGAAATTATTACTCAACTGTTGAGACCTGCCAGATTATAATATGGCTTCAAAGTCACTACATGGGAAAGTGGCCGATGAATCTGGAATCCATAATCCCTGCAGGAAAGACTCCGTGTGTGAGAGGAGCACGGGTCCCCTAGGGTGTGAGTCAGCGCGGCTCTGACTCACAGGGCAGGAACACAGCCGGCCCAACTGGTGGCGCTGGCTGGGCCCTTTTGTCTTGTACAAAACAGGGAGCTCAGACAGAGGATGAAAAGGCCAAGCTAGAAGGATAAGCAGGGCACAGTTGGTCCTGCAGCAGCGCCCCTAAGCATCCCAGTGTCGGATTGGCAGGGAGGGCTTCCCTTCTTCCTGCCCCAGCCTCCCAGTGTGGAAATTGTTTTAAACTTTCCTCTCATAACCTCTATTGCCCCTATTAGTTTGGAGTACCTACCTGCTTTTTCTGAGTTTTGAAAGTTCTGAAATTTTAATTGGTGACAAATGATGGCTGCCTTCAAATTCTCTGGTTTCCATAGATCTTGGCATGTTCATCAGTGTTTTTCGTTCTGGGCTTTCTTCATAGTTGTTGCAATCAATGCATTTGCATATAGAAGAACACATAATTTTGGCCTGGTAATATAAAATGCTTCAATAAAATCAGGTTACCCTATAAGCTATCAAAAGTGACAAATTCTATTGATATCTTAAGTCATGTGTACATGTGCAACCTGAGATTTTCAGAGAGAGAGAGAGAGAGAGAGAGAGAGAGAGAGAGAGAGAGTGCCAGATGCCAAGAGAAGTGAATGGTGGGGAGTAAAGAGAGGGTGTGTGCTCACAGCCCTTGCTGCAGTGAAGGCAGGGTGTGGGTGAGCCTGGAGTGGGTGAAGGTGGAGAACCAGCCAACTGCTGCATCAAGTCTCTCAGTTTGAACAAGTCCCATCTGGCCGTGACACTCCGGTGCAGTGGGGACACATGCAGGATAGCCTGTGGCTGGGAGTTTTCAGGAGACCCTCCCTCTCCCAAGAGTGCGCTTACAGTCTACTATTACGGGCCCACCTCCTCAGCACAGGGGCCCCAGGGCAGTCTAAAGCTGGCACTGTCGACCACATGGGTTTTCTATTTCACCTAGCCACAGCCCCAGGATTTTCCTTCATAAGGATGGAGCTCCAGCTCCAAGGTGCAGCTGCAAGGGCCCTCAGCTGAACTTCCGTGTATTCTGAAACAGATGTTAGTCAGGATGTCTAGTTTACGTCAATGACAGACACTAAAGCTGTCCTTTCCTCTTTGCCTCACAGCCTGGCAGCCACTGCCTGGCACAGGGTCAGCCTGTGGAAGGGGCTGGGTCACTCACTGATCGGTGGTTGCCAGAGAAGGCACTGTGTTGGGAGTGGTTCCTGTGGGTGAAGCCACTCACTGTTTGAATTGTCCATCTCTGCTATAGTTTGGCTAAATGTTCAGAATCCTAGCTGAGGCATTGCAAGGTCTGCCTGCTCGGCTCTCTCAGCATGTGTTTGCAGAGCTAGAAAGGTGAACCTAAAGCTGACCTTTGATGACAACCATTTAAAATGAAATTCACAAGTCCCCAAAGACCTCAGACAAGCAGAGAGGCTTGTGAGGATGGTTCTGTCACTGCCTCCTCTAGGGACTGCAGTTCCCTTTCTCCTCTTCCCTCAACACAGAGAAAAACAGAAAAGATGGCAAAACTCAAGGGGAAGATGGGTCTGTCTGTTCCATGAAATCTTGGAGAAAAAGGAAAAGCTCCATGCAGGAAAAGATCTGCCCCTTGCTTTGTAGGCTCATTGTTCTTTCTGGTCTCTGAGGGGACTGTGAGCCAAGGAAGAGCCACCCCTGGTCAAAGCTCCCCGGCAATGGACACCTGAGGTCCCCCCAGAGCCCAGTCAGAAGCATCAGGGGAGAAGAGGCACAGTACCCCCTGGGAGCCACTAACTTGCTGACCGCAGTCAGCCCACTGCGTGGATCAGCAGCTGCAGAGGGGCCTAGCCACACCGGGGCATCCTTGGTGGACACCCAGGGTGGGCCTCAGGATGGTACCTGCTCCACAGGAGTCCTCACTCCCATGGCTTGATTCATAAAGCTCACCGACATCTGAGAAATTAACTCAGATTAATATGAAAGCCCTTTTAGCGACCTTGGGAAAAGGGGATTATATTTCCCTTTTAAAATTACTGTAAAGTTCTTCTAACCACAAAAGTGATGTAGGCAAAGTATTTACTTGTCTTTTGTTTTTCACATGCCAATGCTAGGAAATCAGTCACTGACCTCATAGCACTCGCAGTAATTCTTCAGGCAGCCAGACCGCTTACAGTTGCAGCCTTTGTTATGACGAGGCTTAACATCTCCCAACCTGCTTTTCCCAATTTTAGGTTGAAAAGCTTCCGGATTTCTGTCAAGACATGCCTGAGATAGAAAATGGAAAGTCCATGAAGAGTGTGCCTTATGCTCAGAATGGTGGTGAACACCTCTATTCCCACAGTCTTGGCGTCTGAAGCAGGAGGGTGGCAAATATGAACCAAGCCTGGACAACTTAGGAACTTAGTGAGACCTTGTCTCAAAATAAAAAATTAAAAAAGAACTAGAGACATAGCCCTGGGTTCAATCCCCAGTACCACAAAAACAAACAAGCAAAACCCTCCAAAACAAAGAATATGCTTTGTGACTCAGAACTAATGCTTAGTGACAGGCGCCTCAGTGGAGGCCAGCAGTGGTTTCTAAGAGCAGGGGGAGCAGGGACTCCACCATAACCAGGAGCTGCCTGGCTCCTGGTCACCTTTTGGTCTCCATAAAGGAGTGTGCTGTAGCTATGGTCTCTTTAGGTTGTGCTTTTTCTCTGCATCTCAAAGTCACACATATTTAGTGTAGAAAATTAATGGACAATAAAGATGAAAAGAAATTGTTTCACTGTTTCCATGGGGATAGACTGTAGACTCCCTTCCAGCATTCCCTGTCCCTTTCCCTAAGGTAAATGATTTTAGGGGAGTGAGGGGTGCTGGGGGTGGACCCCAGGGCCTCACACATGCTAAGCAAGCTGGATCCTCAGCCCCCTGAGATAGTGGAGGCCACGGTCCTGTGCTGGCAGCTCATACCATGGGAATGTGATTGAATGAACCACATCTCAGGCATCTTTCTGTGTGATGTGTACATTTTTCTCATGTAATCCTCTCAGCAACCATGGAACCTAAAAACTGCTACAGCTATGCAGTCTTATAGATCAAGAAACTGAGGTGCAGGCAGTGGAATCTCGAGTCTAAGTCCTCATGCTGACTCCAGGGGCAGGTCTCACCCTTGGCCATGCCTTTTCCACACGATGCACATGACTGTCACTCTGATTTGTTTTAACTTTTTAATCTACCTGTCCTGTATCTACCTATTCATGCAATTGCATACATATTTTCAAATAAAAAGTGATTTGTATTCCTTGTAATAATTCAAACATCACAGAAGTCACAGTGGAGGTCCTGTCTCCCTCCTGAAGTTACTTAGCAGCTAGATCTGTATGTCCAGCACCAAGGCACTCAAATGTGGCCATCATAGCCCACTGTTCCACTGCACGGCACTGGTCTGTGGAACTGACAGACTTGTCCCTGGGTACCACCCCCAGGCTACACTAGGGGCTTCCTTGTGACTTCTCCCCATCATGAACCTCCAAGGGAGCCACTGCTCAGACTCTGACAGCGGTAGATCTGATGTGCTGAGACATCAGGTGAGTGGAAGCCCACAGAGCAGCCTTTCGGCCCTGCTTCTTTCCTCAGCAGTGTCTGTGACAGTCATTCTCGCTGCTGCACTTCGCTGCACTTCTTTCCTTTCTGTTGATGTGTAATTTTCCTTTGGACCACATACCTGCCATTGTATCTATCAATGGACTTGTCCCTTGGATTGGTGGGCTTGTTGCCAGTGTTGGGCTATTTCAAATAAAGTTGCTGTGAACATTCTTGTGCAAATCTTTTGTGGACATTTACACTCACTTCTACTGGCTGTATTTTTAGAAAAGAAATTGCCGGGGCATAGTATATACAAGGCTTAGCTGTAGTAGCTATTGTCAGACAATTTCCCAAAATGCTTGTACCCAATTTAATTACCGTTAGTAATACATGAGAATTCCAACTTTTATAATTAAAAAATTTAGGGCCAGGGATTTAGCTCAGTGGTTCTGTCGTCTGTCTTGCAAGCGCAAGGTCCCAAGTTCGATCCCCGGTACCAAAAAAATAAATAAATAAATATAATTTAAAAATTTATACTTTTAATTGTAGATAATATCTTTTACCCCTAAATAAAATGTGACTAAAAGTTTAGATATATCATTATTTTCTTCTGTCCCATGGATCTGGTCATATCAAAATTGATATTTCTAAGTGATTTTTCCATAATTCAAGGGGGAATTATCATATATATATCAGACCAACGATGGCACAGGACAGTTGATGGCTTCTCTTTCATTGGTAAATCAGAGGCCCCAGTAAGTGTCTTCCTAGAGCAGGTGGATAACCTAGCCTGACTGTGTCTCCCATCCCTGATTATCTTTGTGCCCACAGAGAGGGCTAAAAACCACACGTTCCTGCATTTAGCTAACAGGAGAGTGGCCTTTGGGGCCATCGGAGGTAGAATTCTGCTCCCCTCAGGAAAGCCTGGATTCCTCCCTCCTCAGGCCCTCCCTCCCTGGGGAGGCCGAGTGCCCTCCCCAGTACTCTCTCTACACAGAGGACCATCCACCTCTTTTCAGACTACACTGTTCCAACTCAAGCTCAACTGTTGTACAACATCCCCCAAATTCCTAACCCCCAGATCCAGACCAGGTGGACCTGTGCACACTCCTGCAGCAGCTTCCTGGCTTCTCTGTACCCCGAAGCCATCCCTCATGGAGAAGAAGGAGGGTCTGCCTCTGCATGCTGTTGTCAGCAGCAGCACCCCCGCCGCAGGAATAGTCATAGCTGTTGTATATACTCTTCACACTTTGGGTTTTTCCAATATTGAAATTAGGAATTTCTGGAGATCATTTGCAAACACCTCAAATCCTTTGAAATGCTTTTAAAATTTATTACCTTAATGGCATTAAACCGTTCAATTTCATGATGTAAATTGTTGCAACAATTATTACAATGGCAGTTGTTGCAAAAGTCCCCGCTGGCGAAGCAATCGCAGTACCTGGGAAGAAAAGCACAGCATGAGCCCGAGGTGCAGGTGGCACAGCCAGGCAGTGACAAGAAAGGCACATGTGCAGGAAAAGGGTGGCCACCGGGCCTCGGCCAGGATGATTTTGATTTAGGGGATTCTGACTACATCAGCTGGATGATGTTCTATGTGACTAACACCAAAAAAAGAGAAACTGGTTATTAAAGCCATGGGTTTGGTGATATGTGGTCTTACGAAGCAAAACAACTTCCTGGAAGTTATCCATTGCTGTTCATCATCTCCAGCCCCCAATGCCTTCTGCCATTTTGCCACCAACCCTCCCAATCCATCCAATTGCTCATGGGTTGCTCCCCTCTTGACCAGACCTTGACCACAAGTGAAAACCAATGAGAGGGGTCTGGCCTAGGCTTCATCTTACTTTCCTCCTAAGTCCATGAAGAGAGGAAATGAAGTAGAAATGGTAGAAAAAAAAATACACGCATGAAACACCCGCTGTGACACTTCTTTGTTGTACGGAGAGGGTCCTTCGCCTGTCCTGCATTTGAATTCTGCACTGTACTTAGTGAGAAGACCCCAAGGAGAGTGTCCAGGGCACCCTGCGATCCCTGGGCCAGAGAGGCAGCACGGCAGCGAGGAGGCCACCTCTGATGACTTCCCTCTGTTCACAGCCATGAGCTGCTTCACACACCCTTCAGATGCCCAACTGTGGTGTGGCCAGAGGCACCCACAGACCTACACTTACAGTCTCTCCATGTGGGCAAGTGGCATCCCAGCCTAACTCCTCAGATCCTATACCCCCAAGAGGTGCTGGGAACCTGGCAGCCACTCTGCAGCATCCGTTTGTGACACTTAGGTATTTCACGTCAGTTCTTCCACCAACTCCCACATCATCTGTCATAGGCTGTTTCCCGTCAGCATTTCGAGTTGAGAAATGGAAATCACAGAGCTCAACCTGCCAGGCTCAGTGGCCACACATACTAGATGTGCCTCCTCAAGGCTGCATGAGCAGGGTGGACTGGATAGCTGCAGAAGCTGCCTGTGTGAGAAGCCCAAGCACAATTCTTTTCGTGTTTATTATTCTATTCATATTTATTTTGTATTGCTAAACAATATTTTTAAATGCATGTGAACCCAGCAAGAGAGTAAAGGAGATCATCAGGGGCCAAAAGGTCAAGAACTGTGAATCCAGAGAGGTGAGTCTATAGCAATTGAGGATTGTCCTGAGGCACCTGTTGTCCCTAGGGACCCAGGGTTTAGTCTCCCACAAGCTGCTCATGCGAAAGACAGGAGACAAAGTCAGGGCTACAGAAGGTGCCAGTTAGCCCAGGGACACCCCTGCCCCCTGACACACACACCTAAATGAGGATCCCTGCAATGCAACTCCCAGTGGGCAAACAAACCTGCTCCCTGGAGGTGAGAGTGGTGACGTCCCTCTCTGGGGACAGGGAGAAACATGCAGGCCTCTCCTGAGCCCTCAGCCACAGGATGGAGGCAAGGGAAGGAGACAGTGGCAGGAAGTTACAAGGAGAAAAACAGTAAGCAGTGGGTGAGGCCTAGGGATTCTACATCCACAGGAAGAGCTGAGAGGTGACTTCTGGAGACCTGTGAGGTGGTGGCCCAGGCCCCTCCAAGTGGAGGAAGGGGAGAGGGCCAAAGAAGCAGGGATTGCAGTTCTGTACAGGAGGCCCTTCCTGTATCCCAGGTCTGGTGGCTGCCCCACCACTGTGACAAAAGACTAAAATCACTCTCAGGATAAAACTATTGCAAACTAGGGTGTGGGTTTCTTCTACTCTGCTTATAGAATTCAAGCAGGGAATGGAAAAAGCAGTTTTGGAGCACTCTGCCTGGCAGAAGAGAAAAGATTCAGGCAGGCTGGCATCGAGGTCCTACAAAACATGGGGTGCAGTCGTGTTACCCTAGATAAAGTCGCAGAGAACAGCCCCATTAAGGCACAAAGGGTCGTCCAGTCAGCTCATGCCTCTTACCAGGAGCAGAGTGACCTGAGAGATCAGCAGATGTGTGTGGAACCTTCCAGCATGGCAGACAGGCTGCAGAATCCAAGACTGCGGGGAAAAGAAAACCAGGAGAGAGGGAGACCCATGACCTCAAGGACAGTAAGAAAAGTGATTCAATGCATCAAACAAGAAAATGATGCTTAAGGGCCAGGGATATATCTCAGTGGCGCTGCACCTGCCCGCAAGCGCAAGGTCCTGAGTTCGATCCCTGGTACATGGTGGTGGTGGTTGAGATGATGCTTAAGAAAACAGCATAAAAAGATAATCTAGAATATAAAATGTAATCACAAAGATGAAAAATTTAACATGAAAACAGGAACCATGCCTTGAATCACATGAGGAAAACATGGGACCCAGAAGTGAGAGAACCAAACATGAAAGAGAAGCACCCAGAGCCCTAGCATGACAGTAGAGGGAGAGTCCAAGATGGGAGCCAACCCCTCCTGAACCAGGAGGGACAGCTCTGCAAAGCCTTCCTCCAAACACACCTGCTACATCCTCGAAGTGGAGACAGTCACACAACCAGAGGGTTAAGTAGTGCTCAGTGCACAGAAAACTAAGTGTTAAGTGCCAACTGGAAGGAAAGGGTGAAGAAGTACAGGGAAGGAAAATCAAGTCCCCGAAAGGACTGGAGTTTTCAGTCATAAGATATGCATGCTTAGTAGTGATCTAACCAAGTACATCTGCTGTCTGCGTTTGGGCAACATGTGTGCCGGGAGATGTTTGTGCCTAAGTGAGGAGAGGAAGCCCAGCTAAATCCACATCTCCCATGGCACACAATGATCATGCTAAAACTGAAAAGCTGAGAAGCAGCAGTTCAGTCCTGTACCTTAGATTTATGGAGGCAAATATTAAAAGATCAGTTAAGAGAGCTGAAAGCTCCTGAAGACAAGGAAATAAGGAACAATTATCAGAGAACTACTATTATTTTTTGGTCACAGTCTTTTTTGTTTTTTGGTACCGGGGATCGAACTCAAGTCCTTGTGCTTGCCCAGCAGGCGGCGAAACCACTGAGCTAAATCCCCGGCTCCTTTTGGTCACAGTCTTGAATAATAATTTGGTTCTTTAGATGTATGTATAATTTGAATAAAAATAAGAGAGCAAGGAAGAATAAACTAAAAGAAAAAAATTAGATTGACATGCAGCACAAAAAGTAAAGAGATTAAAAATATGTAATCCCAGTACTCTAGAAGCCAAGGCAGAAGGGTTGCAAATTCAAGTCCAGCATGGCAATTTAAATGACTTAGCGAAGCCCTGTTTCAAAATTTAAAAAATTTTAAAAGGCTAGGGATGTAGCTCAGTGGAAAGGCCCTGGGTTCAATTTGTAGTACCATACACAGACGCACTAAAAGAAGTGAATCAGGATGTGATGGGACATGTTTGTAACTCCAGCTACTTAGGAGCAGAAACAGGAAGATTGCAAGTTCAAGGCCAGCCTTGGCAACTTAGCAAGATCCTGTCTAAAAAAATAGAAAAATTTATAAATTGCTGGGGATGTAACTAAGTGGTAGAGTGCTTGCCTAGCATGCACAAGGCCCTGAGTTTGATCCCTAGCACTGGGTAGGGTGGAGTGGAGGAGAAAAGAAGTGAGGTCAGGAGAAATGGTCTCTGGTTGGGGGGCTGACCTGTGTTGGGAACATTTCAGGAGAGGAAGGGAGGGAAAAGAGAAATGAGTTTTCCAGAACTGATGAAAGCTACATATCCTCAGATTTAAGGCACCTAATGAACCCCAGGAAAGAAAAACTAAAAGAAAATCCAAAGGCAAAGAGAAAATCTTAAGAGCAACAGAGAGAAAAGATACAATATCTGGACAGACACCAACTTATTAGAAATAATGGAACACAGTAAAGTAAGATTTTCCAAGCACTGAGAATAGCTGGCAATCTAGAATTTTACTCACCTAGGTCCAGTCAAGCGTTTCCTCTTGCTCTATACTTCTGTGCAAAGTTTTAGCTCTCGCCATTCTGCTTTTAACTTTATATTGAAGATTTTTAAACCTGTTTTACTTAATATGTTCTTTCCCATTCTTCAGACTCTAAGACCCTATCACAAAGAACTTCCCCAGCACCATGCCAGGTAGGTGCCCACATCTGGCCTTTGCATTTCTCCTCTTCCAGGCACTCAACTTGGCATCGGACCTTCCTTTCCCTCGTGGGGCCTGGCCACCTCTTTGCTGGAACCTAAGAACCATCAGGCTCACGCTCTCAGCAGCATGGACACTGCATGTCCCAGAGCACCCTCTCAGCCCTGGTGTTCAGCCCCCCTCGGTCTCCTCCACCTTCGCCCCCTCCTGCTGCACTGCACCCACAGCCTGTGAACACAGCCCTGAGTCAGTTCAGCCACTTCTCTTGCAACCCAGTCCCCTGATTCTGGCTCAGTTGCTCATTACTTTTATTCTTTTTCTTTCCTTTTTTTTTTTTTGGTACTGGGGATCGAACTCAGGTCCTTGTGCTTGCACAGCAGGCGGTGAAAACACTGAGCTAAATCCCTGGCCCTCATTACTTTTATTCTTGACACAAGTAAGGCATACTTGTTGTAGAAAAATTAAAAAACATAAACAAGCAAAAAGAAATAAATTACAATCAATCAGAATTTCATTCCCTAGAGATGATCATGTGAATATATTTCAGTTTTTCTCTGTAAAACTATACAGACTGAAACAAGTCTGTATGTGTTGTATGGTTACATATTATACATAAACAAAAATAAGATCATCTTCTACATCCTGCCTCAGTGGGCTTCTACCAATTATCTATATAAGTAATCAACATAGCAGCTGGCTATTACTTACCAATACGGCTTACTTACCAATATGTTATTACTTACCAATATGTATTTCCCATATAAATAGATTTACATACCATCATAATGGCTATATAATATGCTCTCCACTAGCAATATCTTAATTTATAATAATTCTCCTCACAGTGAACATTTAGATTATGTAATACATTTTAGAAATACAGTCTCCAGCTTATGAGGGTTCAATTTGTAGTA